CTCTGTTAAAATGCAAATGTTATGTAGGAAAGGCTACTAAACCAGGCTGAAGGCCTAGTTCATCTAAAACATGTGAGATAGCACTGCCCTAAGAAGTAGGACAAAAGTCAGCAGAAATTCTTAAAGGTGGTTAGAAGAATGTCTAGACTCAGTGCTGGACCATAAGAGAAAGGAAGAAAAGTCACCTTCAGAGGAAGGAGAGGTCACTGAGTGGGGATAGGAGGGACAGTCAAGCCAAACTATCTTCTCTCCTCTTCTTTCTCCTCCTTCTGGTGGTACTGGGGATTCAATCCAAGATACACTGAGCAACTGAGCTATACCAGCCCTTTTTTCTTTTCTTTTAAATTTTGAGACAAAGTCTTGCTAAGTTGTTCAGGATGGACTCAAAGTTGAGATCTCCCTGCCTACACCTCCCAGAGTGCTAGAATTATAGTGGTGCACCACTGAACCCAGCAAAACTGTCTTCTTCATAATTTTGCTGAGGAGTGATTCTTTGTTTCTCATCAAACTTTCTCCTGGAAGAGACATCTGGTGGATACTGTGTTGTGCTGTCCAGGTGCCCTTCAGTGAGGACATGCTGCCCTCCTACTTGGAGTAGCATTAGTAGAGAGGCTTCAGCTGTCTGTGCCCCCTTTCAGACATTTCCTGGATGCAGAGAGGTGCCTTGACCATGGTCATGTCCCTTTCTAGAGATGGCCACATTGTTCTGATCCAGGTGGGAGTATAGAGACCTGGCCCTCTTAGACCCATGCAGGGCAATTCTGAATTTTGGCTAAAATTGTTAACATGTTTGTGACAAACAGCTGGACTTCTTCTGACTTGTCCTGCACTTTTCCTTATCCTTCAAAAGGCTTGGCCCCCAGGGTACTCTTGCCCATGATATTTAGTGTGATTCCCAGGGGACCAAATCTGCACCGAGGCTCAAGTATGAGGAAAAAAGAAATACATCTGGAATCTATTTCTTCTAGACGAGAGGTCAAAACCTCTCGACACCCCTTTTGGGTCTGATGCAGATGCAGTTCAGAGGTACCAAGTGGATCAGTCATTTCAGGAAACTCACTGGATTTGAGGAGGTTTCATTTCAAAGAGTTACTTGTCTTCATTTTTAAAGAAAGGCAATCAAATTTACAATGCCCGTCCCTGACAGAAGGGCAAAGAGGATGGGCCTGCTCAAATCAGCCACTGATGTTAGAACTGCACTGTGAGATTCATTCTGTGGATGAGGCTCCACTTCAGACACAAATAACCCCCAGCTTTTCTGACTCATCTCTCCTCCTAGTTCTTCAAAAGCTGAAGCTTTGTGTGGGGTTAGGTGTTTCTGATTTGTGTTACTTTATCTTCCATAACTAAGGCCAAGGTATACGGCTCCAGTCTCTCCATTTGTTTGATAAAGGGATTAGTGATACAAGGGCTTAGGTTGGCTCATCAGCCCCAAAGGCCCCAGGCTCTCTGCCAAAACAGGTTTTTCTTCAAATACGCTTATATCTCTGGGAAGGAAACAGTTGTTTTTCCCTTTAGAAGGCAGATTTTTTTTTTCCAGAAGGGAGTTTGCAGGAATGGGGCTTGAGAAAATTCCTTTTGTCCCACTTCCATAAGGCAGAGTCACATTGCCTAGGTGAACACATAAAACTGTAGCCCACCCTAGAAATAGCAGGAGCATTCTTTATAATGTTAATTGATGCTTTTCCTACTCCTGTTTCCTTCTAATATCTTCACCCTCTATATCTATGTGGCAGTTTTGGTCTATGGCTCCAGGAAAGAAATGTATACTGAGAGACCTGAAGACAGAAATAACTTCAATTTAGGACAAAAATGTGATTTAACATCTTCAAGATCAGAATAGGTCCCTGAGCCAGTGAAGAAGAAGAAAAGACAGGAGAGCTGAGGTGTTGATCTACCCACTCTTACTTCCCTAGTGTGGAGATGAAGGGAAGAAAGTAGTCAGAAGAACCATTAGACAGGGTTTTAAGGGTTCATAGAGCAGCAGGAAAGATGCAGCTAAGTCTGGGCAATCAGGGATGTTTCTGGCCCTTGAAGGTACAAGGTTTTCTTACATGCTGGAGAAGAGACCAGAGGTAACTGATAGAGCCAGACCAAAAGGGGCCTTGTGACAAGGAGCAAGGGATGATGCAGTAGTAGCTTGGACCATTAACTGAAAACCAGATAGAAAGGTGTATGGAGACTAACAAGGCAGAAGACCAAATGCTCCTTCCACTGCATTCCTCACTTTAGCAATACTACAGGGATTTAGACAAAACTCTGGTGGAAGGAAAAGGATCTGAGATCCTAAAAGAATTTGGGCTCATATTGAAGGGCCCCAGTAAAGATGGAGAACACTGACTTCTTTTATACACAAGAAAGAAATCCTTATCAGGGAGCAAGCCCACAGACTCTTGTCATTTCTGGTCCCTTCTCATTTTCTGGTCCATTTGATCCTATTAAAAACTTGAACCATGTATCTAATTTAAAGCCCCTCCTTCTTTCCCAGGTCTGGCGTGATCTGTGTCTTCACAACCTGAATCTGTGAAAGTCTGTTTTCTTATCCTTTCCTTTACTCTTCCTCTCTCACCCACCTTTTTCTAGGCTCCTCCAAGGGGTGAGATTTGGATAAAATGTCTTAAAGGGTGCTATTTGTAGGTCTCTCCTGTTGGTTCATACTTTCAGGAATGCTGGCTCTTCGAGGACACTTTATGGATTTTTCATAAGCTCCTCTCCCATTCCTGTGATAAAGAACTTCATCTACATATGTGCTCAATGGTTGATTTCTTGATACTCTCTGGGAGTCTTCTATGGGTTTTTATGATACGATTACTTGTCCTAGAGGATGGTCTTCTTAGGAGGAAGCTTGGATTTTTTTTCCTGGCATCCATCTCACCCCTGGGAATACTATACATCTTGCCACCCCAAATACTGTCTTTCTTACCAATGAGGACTGCTCTAGCCAGTCTCCTGCCTTTAGAATTCTCTAGGGAGGAGGCTGACATAAGTTTCTATGTTTAGGTCTCCCTCCCAAACTCAAGTTTTTCCAAGCACTCTTTGACCAAGATCTCCTTTTAGGCACTGAGACAAGGCTCAAGAATTTCTGTGGTTTTGCCGTAATTTAGCCTGGAATTGAATGCTAGTCTTTTTGGTAAGGACCCTTCCTTTACATTTGGTTGGGTGAGAGGAGACATTTAACATAACAACCTAAAACTCAGAAGAATCAATCCTCTCTCCATCAATGAATTGCAGTGTTTTGCTTACTTGAGTGGGCTGGTGTGGTGGTGAGACTCCAAAGGCAAATTTAGTCACTTTTTGTCAAACTTTGGAGAGAAGGAGCTCCTAGACTGCCCTCCTCAGATGTGGAGGTATTTGTAACCAGTTACCCTTAGTTTTAGGGGGTTAGCTAAGGTTTTGAGACAAATGGGAATACCCTATTCTACATCTGCTTATTCACATTAGTCAAAACCTTCAAGACATCATCCAGCATGTGAAGAAAAGTTCTTATCTACAATGGTAATAAAGTGGTAATAACTTAGAATGTACGAAGAGCATTACATACTAAATGTATTAACTGCTTACACCTCCTCTGAAATAAAGACTTTCATCCCTATTTCAGTGAGAAAACTTGAAACCCAGAGCTCATATAGACTGTGGCCAAAGTGGAGACTGAATCCATATCTGATTCCAAAACTCAATCTGCAAATAATCAGTGATATAATTGCTGTCTAGTACAACTGTTCCCTACCTAGGAGGGACAGAATTAGGGTGAGTTGTGTTACAAGGGATTGGAATATTCTCAGCCCATCACACATTGTAAATCTACAATGTATACACTACTTTTTCTCCTCTGTATCAACTCAGTTCAGTACATAATGAGCTCTCTTTTTGGGCCAGGGAGAATTCTAAGTGCCAGGGATACATCAGTGTATAAAACTAAAATCCCTGTCTTCATGAAAAAACAAATTCATCGAAGTTATACTAAAATTATATTTTTTGCACCATGCATTTTACCAATTAAATGCAACTACATGTTGTTATTATAAAGTGAGAGCTCAAAAAGAATTTTGCTGTTTAAAATGAGCCTTTATACCGAACATATATGTGAACAGCACTGGTACTATTTAACTAGTTATCAGGACAGGGTCCACTAGACAAATAAGGGAGGAGTTTGTTTGCAGTCAAATCGAGCTTGAGAAAGACAATATCTGGGTCATAGAGGAAATATTGGGCAATTTCCTTGGGCAATCCCATTTATCCATCACACTGCATTGTGCAAATTATAGTGACTACTTTGGTAAATTAGGATTGGGATTTTTTTTTTTTTTTTTTTTTTTTGTACTGGGGATCGAACTCGGGACCTTGGGCTTGCAAGTCAGGCAGCGGCACCACTGAGCTAAATAGAATTTTATTGATACTGGGGAATCTCAGGAGTACGGTTTTGAGAGGAAAGTATATTATTTTATTTCTTGTTTACCTGTTGACTCTGGAACTTTGAGATTCCTTCTAAAGCTCAAATAGCGAACGGTTGGCTCACACAGGGAAAATGGAGAGGTACTCATATACTTAATGCTAGTCAAAGGCTATATGATTGTTTAACCATCAGATTCATATCTCACGAAAAAAGTGTCAGTGACGTAGCTTTTGGTCTGTCTGGTCTCGTCTTTCACTGGCCACTATCGTGAGTTTAGATTCACTGTTATCACAGGCAATTCTTTCCTGTCCTTGCAAAGGTAAGTGTTGAGGCATTATCCTCTCCATGTGTCAGCCAAAGAAAACGAAGGTGCAAAATAGTGGCCCAGATACGGCATTTCTCTTTGCACTTTACCTCGCGGTTCCTTCGTTCTAAATCGTCACACCTCCACCTCCTAGGCTAGATTTCCCCTGGCCGATAGCTGCCCTTCTCTCCAGCTCCAATTTGACTGGCCAAGCCTGGAGCCATAAAACTACACTTCCCATAAAGCCACGCGCCGACCAGGCCTGCTCGGGATTCTCTAAACTGCCATTACAATTACCATTCACTAAACTCACATATCCAGGAAGAACTGAGTGATCTACTTCTCCGACAGGATGCCTCTTTTTCTTCTCCACCTGTGAGCCCGAATGTTCGATGAAGAGTCTCCTGCTGAAGGGGATTCGTTCAGGCGCCAGCCCTGGTCACCCTGCTCCGCAGGCCTCAGCTCCAGTCAGGACCCCGGGGCCTCGGGGAGTGTCATTGGGGGATGACCGCAGCCCTAGCCGCTGCAGCTGCCACCGCGACCATGGTTTCCGGCAGCAGCGGCCTCGTCGCCGCCCGCCTTCTGTCACGCACCTTCCTCCGTGAGTCGAGCTGGCACTCTGTCTTTCTGGCCTCCACGAGTTCCTGGGTTCGCTGGGCCCAACATCCTGGCCCAGGCCGCGGTTAGGCCCTCCAGTGAAGGAACTGGCGGGGCGAGGGAACGGTGGGGCCCTGATCTTGAGTGGGAGCGCTCAGTTTGGCTGGATACGTGGGTCATTGGCGGACGGGGACGTGCGCTGGCTGAGGCAGGATTCCGGCCTGGGAACTTTGCAGATCCGAGACCATGCAGTTGTACTCGCGGTGACGAACGGCGGGGTGGGTGGGGATAGTGTCTAGACTGACCCCTTATGGAGCGAAAAGTGAACTCAGCTGAGGTATGACTGCATGGGGTGGGGGGGCGTCTTTATTTTCTACTGAAGGGTCCTGCATTTCGACTTATCTAATCTCTGAAAGTCGGTTCAGGTGCAAAGGAAAGGCAATTTCTGCATCCAGAGCCAGCGTAGCCCTATAGACGCCTAGAAGCAAGCTTAGCGTTGCCTGAGACTTAACCCAATTATTTACAAATGTGACCACCAGGCGGTATGAACACTCCAGTTCCTGAGAACTTATTACCCAAGTTGCTAGTCTTTGAATAACGCTGACTGTTGAAAATTCTTGTTATGGTCAAAATCTCTGAGTTTACTAGGTAAGTTATAATAGGAAGAAAGTTTGGAATCAGTCATATCCGGGTTTGAAGTCTGGCTGGTTCCTTCACAGTCTTTGTAGTAATCCTAGTGTTTTTTTCTTGCTACATTTTTCAGTGTTTCAAATTGCATGACAAGAATACCATATGAATCTGAGGCACCATCACCGATAAGGTGCACCATTGTTTTGTCTGCCACTAACAAAGAAATCCACTGCTGATTAAAATTGTGATGTGTTATTGATTGTCCAATGCTGATTTAATAGATGATGAAAAGTGAAAAATGTGCATATTATAAGTGACAGTGTACAGGATGACTTGGGTTCACTGTGCAGACTAAGTGAATAGATTTAAGTAATATATATAAAAGACATTCAACCATACATTTTTCTCTCTTGTTTCTACTTTGCTTCTAACTCTGCTTGATTCTCATATTTGTTGGACTTAATTCCTTTCTTGAGAAGATTAATTTCTAAAAGTGAGTGTGTACTCGGTAGTGGTACTTAGTTACCAGGTCATTTAAGGACAAAGATCTTGCTAGGAAAAAGTTGGGCTTGTTTTGGATATTTTTCTGAAGATTCTTACTGTATAATTTAAAGGACAGTTGCTGTTGTAGTCAGAAGAGGGAAAAAGGTATTAGTTGTACCGAGTGATCACTTTAGTCAGAGTTGGAGCACTAGGAAGGAGATAATCTTGGGTGTGGGCTTAATTCAGCATAATTTAAATAGAGGGTTAGGATGTAGAAGGCCAGATGGGCAGCACAGCCACTGTGCTGGGAAAGTGCAGGAAGGAGTTGCCCACCGGATGTCTCTCTCCTCAAGTCTTACTAGTCTGATTTTCTGAAACACCCTAGCTTCTGGTAGGTCTGCTGTTTTAATAGCAGAATCTAGAGAAGAAAGGAAGAGTGTAAAGTATCTGTTTCTTAATCCACTGTTAGAAGTTCTTAACAGTTCTCTTTTCACAGGAGTGATGTTTCTTTCTTCTTAGTCTCCAGGACAGAGGAGATCATTGGTTTAGCTTTCCGTTGCTGGAGTGGTCTTGAATTATTCCAAGTCATATGATTAATCTGTTACAAAGACTGAGGGGTGTAAGAACTGAACCAAGATATTTCCTATATTAGAGCTGGGGTTACAGATGGCAATGTTTAGTGTATAAAAATCTCTAAGTTGGCAAACCTCTATATCCCCTTTCTTATTCCACATATCTAAGCTTGTTTTCACTTCTTCTAAGAAAATAGACATAGCATCACCTTGCAAAAAATTTTTTAAGTGGTCACAAATTATTTAAGCTTTTACTCAGGTTAAAATAACTAGAGATGCTAGAGAATTTTGTCCCCTCTGTTCTGCTAAGTTTCAGTTGATGGTACATTGTGTGCTAAGGTCACAAATGTTGCAATATTGATTTTTTTTTTTTAAATAAAAGCAAGCACTTACAGTTGCCTTCCAGGGCTCTTTTGGAGGGGTTACTTACAATATTTAGAAATCCCTGAGCACCCCACCCACCACCCTATTCTACAGCTTATGAAAGAAAGGAAAGAATCCAGTTGAAGGAAGAAGGGAAAAAATGAAAACTAAGAAGTATTTCTTCCATGAGAAAGTTTGAAAATTTATAAACAGCTTTGAAGTTGAAATAGTGAAGTTATTTTAAGAAATTTAGAGCAATTCAAAGTCTTTAAATATGACAAGTTCCTATAAATTTAGTCTTTTAGTGTAATTAGGAAATAAGAACAAATACTTTTGAATCTCATAATTATGGTGTTTTAATGCCAGAAAATGAACCTTACAATTCAGCTGATCCTGTAACTTTGGCAAGTGAGGAAATAAACTCAGAAAGTTTTTCACCCAGTATCAAAAAGAATGATAGAATCGAGGTCTCCTAATGCTGGACAGTGTCTTTTCCATTAGTGTGCACCATATAATAGTTTGAGTCTCCTTTTTTTTGAAGCTCTGATTTTTTTGTCTTGATTGTTGAGAAGCTTTTAAAGCTAGTTGAGAGACTCAGGCAGGAAGGAGGATTACAAGTTCATGGTCAGCAGGGGCAGTTTAGCAAGACCTCACACTTGAATGCGTGCGCGCACACACACATAAACAAGCTGGTGTCAACACTAGAATGCTTGCCTAGCATGCAGAAGAACCTAGGTTCAGTTGCTAGTTGCAAAATAAAAGCAAAAAGGTGCCACTTGCCTTTTCCATATTTGCCAAATTGTGTAGACTTGTTTTGAACTGAGGAAGCATTTGAAAGTGCAGTTTGGAAAAGGAGACCCTTAACAGTGATGTTTCTTATTCTACTATCTGTTACCCTTTGCATCTAAGAATCAAATAGTTATTTCAGAAATGTAAAACAGATAACTCAGATGTAGCAATATAAGCATAAGATAGTGATTAGATTTTCTGATCTCAACTTTATTTCATAGAAACATTGTTGAGGATGTTAAAACATAATTTCTCTTAAGTACAGGAGAAAAATTTTACCAAAAGACAAGCATTTTGTTGTCTCAGACTCCTAGTTTTTTTTTTTTTAACATTAGAACATTTCTAAAATTAGAATGTTTTAATAATTGATACTTTACAAGATTTGGCAACTTTTTTTCTTTCTTCTTAGTACTTAGGTATACTTCTTTAAAAATGGTAGTATTGGGCTGGAGATTTAGCTCAGTGGTGCCAATACCTGCCGCTCAAGTGCAAGGTTCCAAGTTCGATCCCTAGTCCCACCCCCCACCCCCCATAAAAGTGGTATTTTAGATTTGATGAAGTAAGGTACTTACTTAGCAACCAGCGATGTCAATAATAAATGAACATATTTTTCAATATTAAATCAATATATGATTTTGCATTTGAATGACAGGTTATTTGGAATTTGAGGGTTAAATGGCTGCTAAACTACTCTGCTGTATTCTAAAGTCCTATAGGTGGGTACTACATCATTCATATATATATATATGCACATATATATATTTATTTTTAATGCTCTTCATATATTGGGAACTTGGTCTGCAGCATGACAGTTTTGAGAGGTGGTGGAACCTTTTAAGAGGTGGCGCCTAAAGGAGTGGAGTTTGGGTTTTACTCTCAGAAGAGATTATTAGTATTGGTCTTCTGGGGTGAGTTGTTGGAGTGAATTCTCACAAGAATGGGTTGTTATGAAATGAGGCTGCCTCATGTACTTGACCCTACTCTACACAGGGCTATATTCCTTCTGCCTTTCTGACATGTTATGTTGCAGCCAAAGGGGCCCTTACCAGAGGATGAACAAGCGAGGCTGCTCCATTTCAGACTTTCAGTCTCCTAATCTGTGAGCTAAATAAAGCTCTTTTCCTTATAAGTAACTAGTGTCAGGTATTTTGTTATAGCTACAGAGAATGGACTAATACAGTTCATAAGTATTCCCATCTTAAATTCATGAGTATGTGCATGAATAAATGAGTAGCAGGGATGTAGGTTAAGAGGTAATTTGGGGAGAGTATTTCATGAACAGGGTCTCAAATTATTGGCTGAAACTGTGCTAAGTAGTCATGGAAGGCCATGGTTTGAGTCCCACCTAAGCAAGTCTAGCCTAGATCATACTGTGAATTTCACTAGCCATCTTACAGATGGTATAGTTGCTATCTATGGGAAGAGGACTCAGTATGTAGCTGAGTGATACAGACCTATCACCTATGTTGAAAACACTTCTCTTTCAGATTACTCAGTCCCTTTCTTTTAGCCTTTTTATTCCAGTTTGTACTTTTGTAGTTTTGGGTTTCTTTGCTTAACATTTAATTCTCTTACAGAGCAGAAAGCTTCGTGTGGGTAGGGTAAGTCTATCTTACTCTTTCATGAATCCTGAGCACCTGGTGGGGTAGTCTGCCACAGTGAGCATCTGAAAGCAGTGTGGTCTGTTCATTCTGCATTAGTAATGATAGCGATAATGAAATAGCTATTAGTGCTAAGACACTTCTTGTACCCTTATCACCAATTTATGTGCTCTCTTTTTAAACTCATTTAATTCTCATATCAGCCAATGAGGTACATACTATTTTTCCATTTTTACAATGAGGCTGTACCTTTATATGTATTTCATGTTAAGAACTTACAAATATATTTGTGCATGCTACATATTATATGTAGGCATTTATAAACATATATGGTGGACCCTTGACGTAAGAACTCAATTCATTCCCAAGGGCAGTTGTAACTCAAGTTGGTCAGTTAAAGGCTCAGGTTCCTCTACACAGCCTTCAAAGTCTCCTGAGTACAGTTAGATCTCAGTGTCCATAGAGAGACCCTGACCCAGGATTTCTCAGTGAACCCCACAGAGGAAAGGATGTTGTAATGTTCCTTCCAGGATTCTTTGAGGGTTAAATCTGTATCTGAGACTAACTTGAAGCACAATTGGCCAGCATTTGGGTCATAACTCAAGACTTGGATTATAAGTTAAAACTAAAATTCTGCTCATAACCCAAGTTGTTCATATGGGTCCATTGTATTTAGAATGTGCATGAGGACACATATAAAACAGTTCTGAGCTGGGCGTGCTGGCTCACATCTGTAATCCCAGCACTTGGGAGGCTGAGGCAGGAGGATTGCTGTGAATTCGAAACCAGCCTGGGCTACATAGTGATTTCCAGGTTAGACTCAACTACACAGTGAGACCCTGTCTCAAAAAAACAAACAACAACAACAACAACAACAACAAAAAACAGTTCTGGTTGTATGTATTTGATTTTTAAATATCAACAATGTTTCCTCTTTCTAGGAAAAGATTTACCATTTTAGTTGTGTAGGATTTTGGGAGTATACCAGCCACTTTGATACCCAGGCATCATTGCATGTTAACATCAGTCTTCTTGTGGGAAGCTGTTATTCCATTTATAGATGGAAAGGCCAAGGCTAAGGGAGATTAAAAGTATGCCTGTGTCACCTCACTGATGAGCAGCAGAGTATAATAGCAAGCTCAAGCCTGTCTGATTCCTGAGACATTGTTCTCAGCTCCTCTAGGGACGCAAAAACCAAGGCTGGGCTGGCCGGTTTCTAAGAACTTGCAAGAGGGTGCACATCCTCAGGAAGTGGCCCAATATATAGGAGCCATAGCCCTCACCATCAGGGTATTCTTGTTGGTAGACTTTAGACCTTCCTGCTGCCCTAATACTTAAAGTGCTCATTTTCTCCTTATTAAAGTTATATATCTCATCATCTGTTGATTTACCGTCACTGTTGTGTTACTGGTTTATGACCTTTACTGGTTTGTCTATTAGCAAAGGGCAAGAATGACAGCACTGGCTGGGTGGGCTCTGCTGTGCATCTCTTTAAGGGACATCTCTCAGGCTGGAAATCCGGCGTAATGTCAGGTGTTTTGACTCCCTCATGGCGCCTTTCTGAGCATAGTTGAAGAGTGCAGCTGCCCATTGCCTGGCAATTCTGTGTGCTCACGAAACTCTGCTCACCTGGATGGTAAGGGTGAAGTCTGGGCTTTCCTTCTCCCTAGAGGCATGGAAACTCCAAATACCTCTGCCAGTGTAGATATCGATTCTTCTTCAGTTGTGACACCTGAAGTCTGAAAAGATAGGCAGTGATTCAGATGAGAGAGCGATTCATAGCAATTTGAGTCAAAAAGCATGGGGCGGGTCTCAGGAGAAATGCGTGATGAGATATTTGTTTCTGGAGCTGCCTTTCCAGAATTGCTTAGTGGTAGGAAGAAGGATTAGCCACTTTGAAGAGACCAGGGATGGGGTGTAGACAAGATAGATTGGTGGCTCTCCTGGAGTTTTAGAAGGTAGCCTACAAGCCATGTACTTGTTTTCTGATTTTTGTATTAGAAATTGGTTGTATTAACCCAACTTCTCATTTTTCTTGAGGTGGGTTACTGAAAATAACATTGTTTTTTTACAAGTTTCTCTTTCATCTACTTTCCTACTTATTTTATTTTCCCTATTTTGAATGTATAAATTCTTGACTCACGTCAGAAGAGACCGATCCAAGTGATTCTAGATTGCGTTTTAGTCAAATTTTATTTTGCAATTTAACATTTAATATATTGTTATTATTGAGGAACAGTTTGCAGAGTGGTTCTTACTCATACCCCTGACAATGTTTGCCTTAGCTCACCTATTTATAGGAATTGGACTTTAAAACATTGAGTCAATTTGGCTGTAGCTGTTTAATAAACATTATTAGTGGGATGATACCTAATTTTCAGTCCCTGGGTTTAATTTGAGACATTTATCTTTGATCTCTGTTTTTCATTCTGAGGATTAAATGATAAACTTCAGCTTTTGTTTCTCAGTTCAGAAAAAGCTATAAGATTTGGTTCTCAGGAAGGATAAGATCTTGGCGCGTAGAAGCAGGGTCTTTATTTTTCTAATTTATTGCTGTGGCCTACCTCTCTCATTTTAAAAATGATGTTTAAATTTTTCATGGTCACAATATAGCTTTTATATTATAGGATTTTTTTTTTTTTAGTCACCAATTTGAATCCATTGTTCAGAAGTTTAGAAAAGTTATGTCACGTTTCCTTTACTTTTCAGTACAACAGAATGGAATTCGACATTGTTCCTATGCAGCTTCTCGGAAACATCTCTATGTTGATAAAAATACGAAGATTATTTGCCAGGGATTCACTGGTAAGCAGGTATGTGTATCTATATTTTTATTTAAAGTGTAGAATAAAAATTTAAAAAAATTAACTTTTTGCTTTTTATATCCTAAAATAGTGATAAATGATTGATAAAAGAATATAGAAATGAGGTTTATCATAAGAAGAGGTCAGCCTGTAAGGGAAAAACTGTGTTTACTCTTACCTGGAAATGCATGGGAGAATACTGTATTGGACCCCCACTTACTGTCTTCAGGAAATACACTACTTTTTCCTCCAACCTTGGGACAGATCACTATTATTTTACTTAAGTTCTAGATAAAATAGATTGCTTGTGTCTTGGTCTTGTACAAATATTTTTTGTTGAACATGGAGTCCACCTTAAGTGTGGAGAAGCACATAAATCCAGAGAGGCTCATGGAGACTGAGACAGACAGAGGAACCAGCCTGTTGGTTGATGTAAGAACCATCTTACACTCTGTAGCACAAAGGGTCTTTAAAGAGACTCACAGGCAAGGTGCCTTAAGCACTTTCTTATTCACTATCTCCCTCTCCCCTGCTTACATCATAGAATTTGTATAAGCTTAAATATATCCATGGTGTGATTCTACAGAGAGTGCAGCATAAGAGCTCCTTTTCTTTCCTTCCATTCTGCTTACCAAACATTTCTCCTATTAAATTGGCATGTGTCCTCTCAGATACTTTTCTTGTATAATAGATATATTTATATTTTCATTATATATACTTTACAGATTTTATATTACAGATATTTACATCCACATTTTGAAGAATATTATAGCATTCAAAATCCACGATTTGAAGTATATTCTAGCTTTCCCTCTCCAATTAAATTTATATTGTCTATTTTTGTATATATTGATATGAGCATATAATCAAATGCTTGGTTAACCCAAATTTCTCCTATAAGTGTATTATATGATTTTGTTTCTCTATTTGCTAAACTTTGTGTGATCCTCTGACATTTTAACTTCTGAACTTTTTTGTTACAACCATCTGTGCATGGTATAAGCACTATTTGGAAGTTTTAAAATTCAGTGTTTTAATTCAGGGTTGGTTTCGGTGTCTTTTAGTTACCTGAGATCTAATTGTTTCTTATTCACCTTCCTTGATAGGAAGTTTAAAGTAATTGAGAGCCTTAATTGCCTCAGTTAGATGTTGATTCAGATTCTGTTAGAGACAATGATAAGGTCTGAAATTAAGGGCTTATTTCCATAGGAAAGATGCAGTTTTGTCATATGAGTTCTTTTTTCAGTGCACACATTGTTACACATATGAATGAAAAAGGTTTACATATTAAAGTAGATTCCAGCAATGCACATCTCCATGGGTGCCATCTGATTCTATTTAGTAGCTTACATGAGTCGCTAAAATTGTTCCTGTTCTTACTGTGTAGTGGCTGGTGATAATGGGAAAACTAAGGACAATAGGCTTATTTTGAGGAAATGTTATTTCTGTTTAGGACTAAAAAACTCTGGTTCATTTGAATTTACTTGGCACTGTACTCTAGGGCAGTGCTTTTCAAACTACCCAAAGTGAAAGGCAGTTTGGATATTTGTTTTAATTTTTGGGGGGTACTGGGGATTGAATTCAGGACCTTGTGCTTTCGAGGCAGGCTCACCTATTGAGGCAGGCTCAGCGGCATCACTGAGCTAAATCCCTGTGTTTAATTTTTTATCTAATGTAGATCAATAATTTTGTAAAATACAATAAAAGTTGCAACATGTCATAGTGTTATATTTGTAAGCACTCTTTTTTAAAAATTACCTTTCTTACTCCTTTTCTCACCTCCTTTCTCCCTTCCTCTGCCTTTTTTTCTTTGGGTCATTTTCTTCTTTCATTTTGCTGTTATATTGTGGCAGAGTAGCAACAATCTACAGATCATACTTTGAATAGCACTATT